TGCCAGAGACTTCACGTCCACGAATCTCATGTGCTCCAAGGGTCAGCAGACGTCCTTTGCGAGAGCTGTCACCACGTACATATTTTTCTGTTGGTTTGCACACATCTTGTTTAAAAACTCACATGACATGTTCTTCATTGCGTTTTAAAATCCTTGCTCTTACAGGACTGGCTGATCCTACTTTTCATGGCAGTGCCATTTCCATTTCCTCATCGGAGGATGAGGAAGATAGGAGGCAAGCTGCTCGCAGGAAGAGACAGAGACTGCTTGTTAATTGGCGGGAAAGTCTCCCCTCAACCTCTTCTCAAGGTATGGCATACCCGAAATTTGCCATGTTAATTGGTCCTTCAATGTGAAACGGTATTGAGACATTAATCCTGTTTTTGACAGGTTACGGTGACGAGAACTTATCTCCTGCTAGAGGACCAGCAAGGAAGAGGAAGGCAGGCCCAGGTCGCCCGAAAGGAAGCAAGAACAAAGTTAAGCCGACATCAAAAACACAGAATAAGACTGCATCTAGCAATGGTAAGTGTTTGTTACCACAACTTGGTTTCTTACAGTTTTGTTTATTGCTAAGACTATTTATTTATTTTTAGGTTCTGGTTTTAATTCTTGCAACATCTGCAAGGAGAAAAAGGAAGGTCCTTTTTGTATGACAGACTGTGGGCATTTTTACCACAATGATTGTCTTGACTCGAGTGCTTCAAACCTCTGCTCTGTTTGTGGTCCAGCATTCCAGAAGACAATTCCGTTTTTTGGGTAGTTTTCTCTTTTATAGTTCTACGTTCTGACATGTTAAATTTTATTTCAAATATGCATTTTGGCTTTTACAATTGAGTTGAGATAATGAAATTCACACAATAAAGATTATGATTAAGACAATCTTCATAGTTTGGTCTTTCCTCTTTTAACCGAAAGTGAACCTGAAAGCTTGAATGAATGCCAATTGACACATATTTTCTGTGTGAAGTCAAAGTATCTTATCTAGCTTTAATCTCCCTGAACATTACCATAAAATAATATTTATACAAAGTTAAGTATTTGGAAGTATAAAAGAACTGAAGTTATATTATGCTATAAGCGCTAGCCTTTAAGAAAATAGCATGAGTGAGTAATTCTTAGTAGCAACCAAAATACAATGCAACGCTTATGAAACAAAATTACAATTCTGTGCTCAATGCTATATTTTATTTCACTTCAAAATTTGCAACAGTAGGATTAAAGCTATGCATGGACATTGTTTCAGTTTTAAAGTCTCATGTCAGGTTCTTAGAATATTTTTTGTAGAGAAGTCAATGCAGTCTGGTAATCTTATTAACAAAAATTTCATTGACTTGGTTGTTTAGAAAAGGAGAAGAACCATCCTTTCATGTAGTTAAATTGTCAAACTTATGGTTTGAAGTACACCTGAACTGCTCAGATGAACAGCTTTGAATTCTATGAAGCAGTGAACTTAAGTGCATACTTTATGCTCAGCCATAGAAACAGCATTATTGATTCATATATAGAGCGCACTAACTAAAGAATCAGTGATGTGTTTCAGCCAGTAATAACTACAAAATGCAGTGTCACTCCAATTAAAATAGGAAAGAGAAAAGGCCGAGGGGGAAACGACTAAGGTAATCCGGCTGACAGCCGAAAGGTAATCCGGCAGGGGTAATCCGAGGAAATTCTAAAAAATCCGTGGTAATCCGGGAAAATTTTGGGGGTAATCCGGGGTAATCCTAGAGAAAAAGCAACGTAATCCGGAGGACACTCCGGAGGTAATCCGGGTAATCCGTAATCCGGCTGACACAAAGTTTAACAGTCGTTTACCCCTCGGAAAAGGCGCACAAAATTCAGAATGTGGCATTTATTTCACACAAGTAATTAAGGTAGATATGAGGATAATACATTAAAAGTAACTTATTATACAGTAGCTTTAGACAATGACAGAAAAAAAACTATCTACATTTTTAGATAAAAGCCCTGACATACACTTGAAATGAAGTCATTAATAGATTAGTCAATGAAGATCAAAATTAAAATTAAACTATCCTCGGCAGGGGAAGCGATCATGATACGATCCTCCACAATAAGGACAAACCTTGTTTGTTCTATATTTTTGGCTAGAAGTTCTAACCCATCTATCAAGACAGCGGTCATGGAAGATGTGACCACAGTCAGTAAGAACAAACTTTCCCATGTCAAGTCCTTCCCGACAGATGTGGCACTCAGGACCTTAAATAAAAGAAAGATTTCTTGAAAGGGTAAAACAAAAATAGTACCAAAAGCTTGTAGCAACTAACCATCATCAGATCCAGCATTCTTCTGTTTCTCCTGTGTCTGCTTCTTCACCTTGTTCTTACTACCTTTTGGACGGCATGGTCCCCGCTTGGTTGCAGGCTTCATACCAGGAGGAGATCTCTCATTACCAAAACCTGTGAAAGCAAGCAGTTTGTAATATGGCTGTACAATATAAAAATATTTGCTATGTTGGGATGATTAAAAGTAGAATAACCAGTAGTCAAGTCTGCAAATTAGAAAACTACCTTGAGATGAAGTTGAGGGGAGACTTTCCCGCCAATTGCTGTTAACAAGCCGTTTCTACAACTTAATCCTGAGAGCAGCTTGCCTCCTATCTTCCTCATGCTCCGATGAGGAAATGGAAATGGCACTGTCATGAAAAGTAGGATCAGCCAATCCTGTAAGAGCAAGGATTTTAAAACGCAATGAAGAACATGTCATGTGAGTTTTCAAACAAGATGTGTGCAAACCAATAGAAAAATATGT